TGAGCCGTTGCCTTGTTAGTAGGGAAATTCAAGATTTCATAGCAAGCATCCTCTTCAATCTTTGGAACTATCATTTCATAGTCCATTTTATTAAAAGATGCTTCGATAGCTTGTTGCTTAACAATAAAAGAGATAAAGAAAAAAAAAGCATTGAGAACACTGTGGATAAGCAAATTGTTCCAACTTTTATAGTTGAAATAACAAGAAATTATGCGTAGATGATAAATATTAAACAACAAGGATGGTAAATAGCAATAGTAAATAAACAATTGTAACTAACAGTTCAAAGGAGATGAATACACGTAAAAAAAATGTGCAGTACACAGAGTAAACGCCAAAACAAATGTATGATTTGACAACATAAAATTGGAGAATAAAGAGTTTAGAAATAAATTGTACACAATGTTTAGCACAGAGAGTATAAAAATTATATTATGTGCTTTAAAGCAAATAATTCATTCTTAACATAGAAGATCAATTGTCTAAAGTAATTTGATAAAAAAATTATCACAAACCTTTTCATCAACCAATATATAGTGCAGTCTGTCGCCCATGCCTAGATACTTCGGTCTCTGTATCCTACAAACACGTACTTTAATTCTAACAACCTTTTTATATGCCACCAATGTCACATCCCGGCCCGGGGGGGACCACTTCCCGGCCCCGCTCCACCACCGTAGCACGATATTGTCCGCTTTAGGCTTACCATTCCCTCACGGTTTTGTTTTTGGGAACTCACGAGCAACTTCCCAGTGGGTCACCCATTATGGGATTGCTCTAGCCCCCTTCTCGCTTAACTTCGGAGTTCCTACGGAACCCGAAGCCAGTGAGCTCCCAAAAGGCCTCGTGCTAGGTAGAGATGGGAATATACATTTAAGGATCACACCCATGGGTGATGTGGGATGTCACAATCCACCCCCCTTAGGGGTCCAACGTCCTCGTCGGCACACCACGACCAAGGTTAGGCTCTGATACCAATTTGTCACATCCCGGCCCGGGGCGGATTACTTCCCGGGCCCGCTCCACCACCGTAGCACGATATTGTCCGCTTTGGGCTTACCATTCCCTCACGGTTTTGTTTTTGGGAGCAACTTCCCAGTGGGTCACCCATCATGGGATTGCTCTAGCCCCCTTCTCGCTTAACTTCGGAGTTCCTACGGAACCCGAAGCCAGTGAGCTCCCAAAAGGCCTCGTGCTAGGTAGAGATGAGAATATACATTTAAGGATCACACCCATAGGTGATGTGGGATGTCACAACCAATCGATCAAGTGGAGTTGGACTTTCGTCTTCCATTGAATCTATACAAACGAAATACAAATTTTAAAAAATTATAAACGGCATAGGGAAAAAGTTTAAAATACCAGCCACACTATAATATCCATTTTTATCAATATTATAAACATATAGAGAAATTATAATTGAAATCTAATTTGAGTGAGAACAGTTATCCAATAATAATAGTCAAATCAAAACACAGAGTGACTAAATCAGTTGTCATTCTCTTTTGATTAATAGAATTAGACTAAAAAGTTATTACTTGTGGATTCTATCAAATTCCATTAAGCATTGAGATGATTTTGATGCAACAAATAATAAACATTAAATAGGTCTGTCCAGAACACCATAACCTAGTTAACAAATCGAAACATACAGACACAAACGTTGTATTACGAATAAATCCCTATAAGAAACAAAAACTTGAAAATCACGATATCTAAATACTTGCCAAAAACTATCACTTTCTGCAAAGAAAGGAAAAGAATTTATTAGCGATGGACTAACAGAAACCATCACTCTGTGCAAAAAAAAAGAAAAGAGAACTCTACACATCTAATATGATGAGAGCACATAATAATATATGATATTAAACAACAACACCAACATATTGATACAATCAAGAACTTGAGAGATAAAGGAAACACTTGTTAGTTTTTCCTATAACCAAATAACAACACTATTTAATTATTAAATGGAATTCATTCATGTCATTAAAATGAAGATAAAGAGTATTTTAAGACTTTATCAACAAATTGGCAAAGGATGCTAAATCATATCAGCTCTGATTCAAGCTAACTAACGAACAAATTATAATTAAAAATTTATGACTCATAAGCTAAACTAATGCATTACTCCATCTAAGGGAACAACGAACATCACTTGTTCCTAGTTTTATCCAGACACTTTAATTTACACCATACCAAATTTAATCACAATAATATAGTTAGAGAGCTAACTAAAAAACCTACATGCCATATAGCAATAGCAAGCTAAACAGCTTGGGAAAACACCAAAGGTCAACACCACCAACAAATGTAAATATTCACAGCTTAGTGAAATCTACACCATAATTGATTTACCAAAGAAACCTTATGTTTTTTACTGTGTATTATGGTTGATATTCACAGCCTAACAAAATGTAAATAATAAGGTTTCTTTGGTGAATCAATATGAAAGTAAGTGTAGATTAGTCATGGTGATTTCAAAATGGATAACGAACAACCATTCATTTGAATGAAAGTAGTTGTTGTTAAATTGACAGCCTAGTCAAATGTAAATCATAATTGATCTACCAAAGAAACTTTATGTTTTTTACTGTGAATTATGGTTGATATCCATAGCCTAGTGAAATCTAAATGATAAAATTTCTTTGGTGAATCAGTATGAAAGTAGGTGTAGATTAGTCACAGTTCCATGAAAAAAAAAAAGCTCAAAAGCAAAACAAAATCAAAGGCAAATAGCACAATAAAAATGAGGACCAAACTTACAAACCCAGATTGAGGAACAAACTTACAAACCCAGATTTGCAAGCAGCAATACAGAAAGAGGAGAAAAAGCAGAAGTCGAAAGCCAAAAGGAAAGGGAAATAAGACAGCAAACGAGCGGGAAGGAAAAGAGAAATAAAAGAGAAGAGCTTACAAACCCAGATTTGCCAGCAGCAATACAGAAAAGGGAGAAAACGCAGAAGATGAAACCAAAAAGAAAGAGAAATAAGAGAGCAAACGTGCAGGAAAGAAAAGAAAAGAAAAATAAAAGAGAAGAGCTGAGATGAAAAGCCAAATGCAAGGGATGATCAACACGTGACACAGTGTAAACCAAAAGCAAGCAAAACATGTTTCCAGGATCACCAACAGGCGGGAACAAAACCAAGAAGAGGGCAAAAGCGGCAAATCACTGTACAATCTGACAAAAAAAAACCTCAAAACATGAAGAAAACAATGGGTGAAACAGGAAGCCCACTGTTAATGAACAGTAGTCATCCACTGGATTTTAGAAGAGAGTAACATATATGTTTGTAATTCTCAAGATAACTTATATGGTTTTGCTTTGCGTTTGCAACATTGGATAGCTGGCTATAGTGCTGTACGTAGTTAATATCTAAAGCATCTTAAAAAAAAAATTAACAAGAGGGAAAATAAATTTTAATAATTGCACGGTGACACAATAATACAAAAAGAGCTACTTGATACTACAGTTTAGTGTTATATTTCTTTATTTGTAAGTGAAAGATTTTAAATTCGATTCTCGTCAAATATGAATTTAAACCATATTATTGCTAACCCAGCTTAACACAACTCTTCTGTTAGTGTAAATAATGTCGTTTGTTTAAAAATAAATAAAAATAATACGTGTACCTTCAATGGGATGCGAAATTCTAATCCTCTCCTAGGAAAAATCAGATAGGAAGAGGATTGGTGAGATATTAGTGGAATCCTTGCAATTAAAAACAAATTAAATTAATAAATACTAATTATATTGTTCCACTTTGGGAAAAAGTACGACTTGGTCGGGGGGTGCGACAAACCTCGACAAATATGAAGTTTTTACTCAAACAATATATTATTCGTAAATAAATGTAATGCTTCGAACTTTATATCGTTTTAGGTAATTTGCTGGTATTGGGTGGGAAAAGCATTCTTTTTAATTTTAAAAAAGGATCATTCTTTTTAATTTAAAAAAGGATTAGCATGTGGCTTTATCACAGTAGTTCATCTTTTTGAGAGTTAGAAAAACTTACGAAGACATTTTAACATCTCCACTATCGTGCAATTCACCAATGCTAGAAATAGAACCTAGAATGTACTGTATAGAATACGAGCTTGAAATTCATCTTCAACAACTGAATCATCTCGTGATGATTTTGGGTGGAAAAGTTGGCCGATGATACTTTTGGTAAACATTCAATCATGCAGGAAATAATTATGCGTCAATGCGTCGGTCGGTGTCTCACTTTTGAATTTGGAAGTCGCATCTCCTCGCATGCAAGCTAGCTTGGTCCACTCCGTCGATATTAGTTTGCTTAAGTGAGTGTAACAATCTTAGTTTAGTGATGCTCGGTGCTTCGGTGACATCTTTCAACGTTGCGAAGAGAAGTACAGAGAGTATAGTTGTTGTGGGTTGAGCTTTTGTAAATCGGCTTGAATCGAAATGAATCTTCACCTTCGTTGTAAATTTGAAGTTTGATCGTATGCTGAATTTTAGGATGATTTCATGGGTTGGGAAAACAAAATTATGTATCAACTTATGAAATTCTGCTACCGTAATTGGGATGACAAATTTGAAAGAATACAAAACAAAAAAGAAATGCTTACTGCTTGTATCAAACTGTAGTTTTGATCCGTTTTCCTCTCCAAAGACACGTGTTCAATCAAACCGTCGTTTTGATCATTTTCTCTTTATAGACATGCGTTAGTCTCCGTGTGGATCCGTTTCCCTCTTTACAGACAAGTGTTAGTCTCGCTGTGGAAAGAAATATATTATACGTAGAGTTTATTCCGCGTGAAATATATGTTGAATTTCTTAACGAATCACTAGTGAATTTCACGATATAACACAAACATGATCCGTTTTTAATGTGTCTTAGCAGATTCACCCCTTTATCGAGCATTAACGCTCGACCCGAACATTAATTTTCATGCATATCTCAGTGATGCTATTGAGTTGTACATAATTTTACTAGACTAATCAGTACAAATTGTGCTACCAAAGTACCAAGAAATGTCAAATAATTGCAAGCCTGCTTTTGTAGTGTACTCAACCAAAATACATTCAGGCATCCAGGTCAGTAGGAAAAAAACTTCTCCGTTGATACTAATTTGGAAATAAACAACTATTCTGAACAAGCCACAATATGCGCTCAAGACCCCAAAATTTCGTGGTCCACTAAACGATACGACATCAGTTTACCACAATTCACTGATGTTCATCAAGTGATCCTCTTAAACGAGCAGAACTGCATTAACACACCCGTCGTTCTCTGGATTATTTGTCACCTGAGCATACTTCCCTGCATCAACCACAAAGAACAGATAAATGCAGAAACAAGTCAGAATCTAAACTATCCGCCTTTAAAAGAGTGTGATGGCAAAGCTAAATGAGATGGCATCAGCTAAAATGCCGACCACCACAAAAAAGGTTGAACTCACCCCACACAACTTTCCCGGCAGGTGTGACTAGACCGAGTTCACTGACATTCACCTGATATCCACAAAATAAGTAGATAAGCGTAAAACATCAAGGGATTGGCATTATAAATGATCACATAATGAAAGATTTACCTCAATGATGGTTCCCTTGGTCAAGACACCAAGAGATGTATACATTTGACCATTAGGATTCTTCTTCACACCAATGATCTCAAGGTTAAAAGTGGCCTTAAGTTCAGGGTGTGTCACGTGAGTTTTGGTGAATCGCAACCCACTGGGACGGATAAATCGCTCATACTTAGGAGGTTTCCTCGTGAAACCAGGTCCCACAAATGTAGCTTTTGCGACCATCCTCTTCCATTGCTTGGCTACAAAAAAGAAAGGAGTAAATAAGCAACAGAGGACTAAGTAATACATTCACATGAAAATACTGGCATCAGTTTCAAACTTTCAATTATCCTCAATGTCATGTTATACGAACTTTAGCATGAACACATTTAGGCTGAAAATCATTATAAACGATAAATTTAGACAATAAATGAACCAACAGCACACTTTGATTGCTATGGAAGTAGAGAGGAAGAAGTTGGAGATACTTACTCTTGCGTTTTCCAGATCTAAGAATTTTGAACATCTCATCTTCAGCCACAGGCCTCACCTAGAGAAGATATAAAACAGTTAGAACATTATATCAATGCTTAGCATACAACAAAAAACGAGTCGCACAGAAAAACAGATAAAAAAAGAAAGAGCGTGGCATGTGCTCTTACCTTGGGCAGTGGGACTTCCCATTTCCCAGCTTTCTCCTTCCGCTTTTGCTTAATGGTGTTGTTCAGAATCTATTTCCAGCATAACCGTCAGATAAGAAACATGAACAAATATCTTCCTTTTTAAGAAAAATATCTATTAATAGCTGGAAATCCATACTTTCGCACGTGTTGTTTTGACACGATCGATCAGATATGCGGGAATAGAGCCTTCATGAACATCATCATCCACCTTGCGCCTAGTTGATGACTCCTCATGCATAATCAACCTGTGGGCATTCACAAAACATAAATTTTACTTTACATATATGTAAATCGTCAGTAGCATAACAAACAAAAGATACAATGAGGTATCAAGATAAAGACAATAGCCACTAAACAATATAAAAAGTCACAAATAAGGTCATGTAAAGTGCAGCTTATGCAGTTTAAATATGAATGTAACCATGTCTATGTGTATATGCAACAGCAAATTAATAGTCATGACAAGTGCAATATGAAACGAACTGTTAGAAGCACATCATATAAATGTAGTTTAAGTACTGTAAGGTACATCTCAACAGTCTATTCTACTGGGAAAAAGACACTAGAGAACTCACGTTTTCTTCATGAGAGCCTTTTCAGCATAGCGCTTCTTAGCAAACATCTTACCCTTGATACCCAGAGCCTGTTCCAATACAAGCATTCCAAATGAACAAAATAAGCTTAAAGTTCCAATTTGATTGTCACTTTCCACGAAAAATAAAGGAAAAGGATTGGAATTGACCTTCTGAGCAGTCTCAGAACGCTTATGGACGAGACGAGCCTCCTTCTTGCGCTTTCGCTCGAAGTGGTCTGGTCGGTACCCATACCGCTTCCTGTGAAGGTCTATGTAATCTCCCTGCGGCTGAATTTCACAAAAAACCATTGCCAGACAATATTAAATGTGTCCTAAACATTATGAACGCTTAAAAGAAAAACAGCAAAGAGAGATGGAGAACAAACCATAGCTACTAAAAATTTGTCACTCCCTGTTTGTTGTCAGAAACTGTCACACAAAGAGCAAAACTGTCACATAGTAAGCCTCAGGACAAATCTATAAAACCATAATCACAAACATAAATTTAATTGAAGCTAAAATGGTTAACTATCAAACAGTAACAAAAAGAATTTTCCTTGACGTAGCTTACTTCCTATCCTGTGATATCATCCAATACCAACCACGTTCAAAACAAAATTTCTGTCATTTAACTTTCAAACTAGTGGAAGACTTGAGAGACAAGAGTAAGGATAGGCTGAGAGGAGGAGATGCGGCTGTAAGTGGTTTGAGAGAGGGTTGATGAGGAGGAAGGACTTTGAAAGGAACTTTGTGAGTTATCTGTGGCTAGGGTTTCTAATGTGTGGTTTAAGTGTTTTGCAATTAAGCAGCTCTAGCCTCGGATCCCATAGTTCTATAAAAAATAGCAACCTTTTTTTACATATTAGCACTAGTATACCCTATAAACACACTACCATACGCCGCATATCACCCTTTTTTCACTTTATTATAGAAACCCAAATAAAGAGCTTCTCCGAATCTCCCTCTCACCCCTTTGTCTAACATGCAACCTAAATTCACACGGTTTCAATCCACAAAACTAATCACAATTTTTTTAAGTCGAATGTAAAATCACATTTCTGCGTATACAATCATGTCTTATGAGCAGAATTCTGGTAGTGTTTATCGAAATGGAGGACAAATCACAACTCCAAAACATCATACAAAGTTACAAACATCAGAAAATTCTACTCTGCACTGACAGCATTGCAACTTCAAAATCTCAAGACTCGAGCTTTAAATTCACCCCAAAAATTGAAATATAGATTCACATATATTAGAAATGCAGAAATACATATTCAAATTTACTCTTTCCTTTCACCCACTTTTAGCCAAAATACGCAATCACATATTTCACCTCCTTTATTTCAGAAAATAATTTGACAATAAATCAACAGGAGGTGAGTAATAAACAAAATAATTTCAAGAAAAAATATGGAATTAAAAACCGCCATATGAAGAACCAGTCGGAGTCAAAGTTCATACCTGTGAGTTTCAGTAAACCCTAGGGCCTAGGAAGAAGACGGAAGGAGGAGATGAAGAGCCAACAGGAAGAAGGCGGTGAACTGATTGGAAAGTGCTCGGGGTATATAGGTTTGTTTGTTGTGATAGACTGTGCAAAGGAACATGGTGCGCATCTGAAAGATCAATCAGAAGTAGCCACGTGTCCAGCAAGAGAGAAAATTGAGAAAAGAAAATAAAGGCGCATATCCAGCCCAGCCCACCCGCTCGTCTTCAACCGTCACGGCAGCTCATCCGCCGTAAGCCCAGCTGACATCACGAGCTCCGCAGCAAACGCCACCCGACTTAAATTGTGAAGGGAAATGGCAGGCAGTGTGAAAGGTGACGGTACGGAATAGTTTAAAGGCCTTAGAATCACATCACTGGACGATGACAGCGACGAAGAAGAAAAACAGAAAGAGCCAGATGTTGCTATGGATGACGATGACGAAGAAGAGGAAGACGAAGAAGCAAGAAACTCTGTGATTTTAGGTTTTGTAAAAAAGCCTAAGAAATCACGCTCTCTTCTTCGCCATTTATTTCCTTCCAAAGCTGGAGGCGTTCCCGTATGCCATTAAACCCTTCAATTTCAATTTACATACTAGTCGGACTTTTCTGATGTTTTGGCTTGTCATATAGGCTTGGCTGGATCCCGAAAACTTGCCGTCCGGAAGATCTTGCTGCTGCGACATATGCGGTGAACCTTTGCAATTTGTGCTTCAGGTGAGGGATGCTTGAATTTCATTGATCAGATTATATCTTTATTATGCCTTTTTTAAGTAGAGGGCGAGTTGGTGTAACGGAAAGGTTGCTCCTTTGTGACATGAAGTTAAATGGTCACAGGTTCGAATCCTGAAACAAGCCTCTTTGCATGCAAAGCAAGAGTAAAGCAGCATACGTACAAGTTCCCCCAACTTTTGCAAAGCAAGAAGCCTTGTTTGCTTGGGGATCGCGCTTTTTATTCCATTTTCAAGTAATAAAAGTTGACAATTGGATTGCGATATTTGGTCTTTGTGTTTATTGGGTGGCTAGGTGTGTGCGCCAGAGGAGAAAGAATCTGCATTTCACCGAACATTGTTTGTGTTTATGTGTACGTCAATGGCGTGTCTTCGTCGTGATCGACGTGAACAATGGAAATGCCAGTGGGACAAGCCCTCTAGAAGGTATTGTTCTCCCAATCATGTCTTTGCCAAAGGATTTGTAGTCTTTGTTTCTGATTATGTGATTTCTTTTTTTTTTTTTTGTAGCGTGAAGGTTTTCCGCTGCCAATTACCCCGTGATAATCCTTTCTACTCAAGTAAGCCTCCGAAGAAGGATAGTACGGATGACCCTCTTATGGCTGGAGGTAGCATCTTGTTTCACTTAGCATTTACAGTTGCTAGCTTTTGCTTATGAATTAGTGCTAGATTGTTTAAGCATGTTCAACCTTGTTTATGTATATTTATGCTCCTTCGGTAATGCAATTTGACGTCTTTTATACGTTCTGCCAATTTAAGGGGTCATTTGATGATCTTTGCCCTTTGATTGTTCTAGCTGCACTCTGTAATTGGTGTGGTACCTGGAAGGGGAGTAAACGCTGTACTGGTTGCAGAAAAGCACATTATTGCTCAGAGAAACTTTGGGTAATTGGATTTTTTGGGTTTTTGCGGTATCTTTTTTCCCCTTTCAAGTAGCAACAGCCATCTTTAAAGATTACGAAATATATATTGGTTGTTTGTAGGTCAAGCATTCTTGGTCCGGTCCGGTCATGAACATGAGATTGTCAACAATTGAGGATTCAGCTGGCCGATAGTAGCTCTGCTAACAGTGAAACCACTTCTGCTGTAGTTCTAAAAGGCAAGTACGAAGTTTTATTTTCTTGGGAGGAGTTTTGGGTGGGCAGTTTAACTGCACTTTCAAGATTGGGTGGGTTGGGGGTTTAACTGCACTTTCAAGATCCTAATACACTCTTGTTTTTCATATGTGAACAGTTGCAAGTAATGATTCATGGCCAGAATACAAAATTATAGAGGAGCCTGAAAGTTCGTATGACACAGAAATGCCTGATGATAGCGTGGGCACTAATTCCTTGGTCTCTAGTAACCGGATGGATGATGGGCTAATGTCGATAGCAGACAATTTTACGGTATTAATTGTTGTTCTCTCATAAACAACATTTATGCTGTCTTTCTATTGGTAGAAATGAAAGTTGTGCTCTGTACTCTTCTTCCCCCATTTTTTCCTCTGATAGGAGAAAAATAGTTTTTAGCTGCTAATACTCTTACATGTTTATACCTCTGTAAAAGGGTGATGGTGACAGAAAGAGCTGGGCTTCATTCCACGTGCGCATAGCCCTGGCCCCTGAACAAATACTAAGGTGATTTATTTTTTCGATAGATCCGTTCAAATCAAGATACAGATTTCTGAAGGACGTGACTTGGTGCAGAGTTTTACTACAAAGTTTTTTGCGCTTGTTACATTCCTTGGCTTTCATTGATCATAACCACTATTTTACTTCAAAATAGTTGATCCATTTCCATATTTTTTTCTTCCAAATAACAGGTATTGTAGGAATCCCGGTGCTAAACCCTTATGGCCTGTGTCAAGTGGCCGGCCATCCACGGCTGATATTCGTAAATGTAGTTATTGTAGTGGCCCAATGTGTTTTGAATTTCAGGTACCAGATATAACAATTGTTTGTTTTGATTGAAGCCTGATTGCAAGTTTGTGCATTTCGGTTTCTTTTACTACCATGTTTGCCCTTTTCTTTCCTGTCAAAATTTTAACCTTGTGAGTTTTATTGGCTTCAGATTATGCCTCAGTTGCTATTTTACTTCAACGTGAAGAATGACGTGGGCTCTCTTGATTGGGCTACAATCGCCGTGTATACATGTGAAGCCTCTTGTGATGCAAGTGTGGTTTACAAAGAAGAATTCGCTTGGGTTCAACTTTCTTAGCCATTTGCTTTCTTGCCAGATACTTTGTACTGTCTAGATATGAGATCAAGTCTTGCTAATATTAGTCTTGAATCAAGTTCTGTCGTTTTCGAGCTTTTCTTGAAACGTGTCTCCGATGTTATGTGCGTGGCTGAGAGACATGTCTTCGGGCAAGACAATTTGAACCTCCACAAAATAGTTGCAGTCAAAAGTGTATGCTCTCACTGTCTCAATGTGCTCTCCTTGGCATGGTTCCGTATCAGACATGTCAATTTTGCCAAGTACACTGCTGGTGCTGTCTTCCCAATCAGGGACCATACGTGCATTTCCCATTGTGTACAGTGCAATCTGCATCCCATTGTTTTTCAAATTTCAGTTACACTTGTTGCCTTAAAAGAGTTTCGGATTAAGTACCTTTGATCGTTGTGTTTTATTCGGATTTCCAATTTTGGTTCACGTGTTTTTGATTTAGGTAATTCGCGCCCCGTGTTTTAATTTGTTAACCTTGGGCCATAGGAACGGGAAATTGGAATACGAATCACTTTTCTAACAGAGAAGGGAACCAAAGAATGAAGCCTGACAAGAGGTTTAATTAAGAGAGAATCCAAAGTTGAAGCAATTACTGCCAAAGATCTGCTCTCAACTGAAGCATAAACTTTTGCCTGAAAAGCACCCAAGTTAGCTACATTAGATGCATATATTGCCATCCTTTCATTTCTTGCAAGTTGGTTTAACGTCAGGCAAATAAACACAGATTTATTGATAGTTTAATGTCAGTTTTCATAGATGCAAACACGTGGGTGCATACACAACCTGGTAACATTTAAAGTTGTATTTGTTGTTGAGATAAAATACTACTCCTTAGGGTATGAATATAGTGACGTATTTTAGAGTCTGGAGACCCAAGTGACACACGAGTCCAAACTTTTCAAGTGCTATTGAAAGGCCAAAGATATCATACTTCTCATTTTTGCGAATTAGCTTCTCTAATTTATTAATTGTTGCAATTTAACTCCAATTATTTCTTTTGTTTTTCCGACAAAATTAGAACTCTAAGACCATGTATTAGGTGCTTTACACTTCTATAATGTTCCTCTTGTACCACATATTCCAGAAAATTAAAGACATGTTTTTTGAGTTGCAACACTTACTAAACTACAAGAGTTTAATAATGGATATTTTCTTATTATAACTGATGATTTACACTAATTTACAACAAAGGAAAGAAAAAAGAGTTTGAGCCTGAAATGCATATTGTTTCTTTTTACATGGATATTTTACGCAGACATTGTTTCCTCTCTCTCTTTTTTTTTTTTTTTTTTCAAAAATAATGCAGTCCTGCTCCTGCACTGAGTGTTGAAGGGTTGTAGCCGGGTAGGGCATAGCGTCCGGCAGAAGCTTACTAATTATGAACCGTTTGGTAGTACTAAGCTTTCACTAAATAATTTCATACGTATCTAACGGTCGATGAAAGTTAAAGATCGTCCATCCCACATTTTTATGAACGATTATGAACCCTGAATATACGTGACTCTCGTAGTGGACCTCACGTACATTTGACGGCCAATTCATGCTCGATTATCAGCCGTTTACACACAGTTTTCATAATAAATCACAAACACATTTAGCGGTCAAACGAATGTTAAAAATAGTTGTGTCACACATTTATAATCTCTTACGGGACATTAAACACGCGGCCCTCACGGCAAATCCACACGCATTTAACAGTCGCTGACCGTGGCCTCGGACAAAAGCAATTAAAGAAAAAAAAAAAAAAAAGGAAAAACAGAAATAAAAACCAATTGGAAACGCAATATGCAAGGAACCCAGAAAGCCCGACCCCATTGAGAGAAATACAGACAGATTCTTCTTCTGTATTTCTCTGTGTACGTATTTACACAGAAACTGAGCAAAACCCTATTTTTCTCTCTCTAGGAGCAGTTCAAGGTTTGCGTTTTCATCATCGTCCACCTCAAAGATGGTGCGCACTCTCCATTTTTCAGCTCTATTTTTAAATTGTTAAATTTCTTCGATTCTGATTGGTTCGGTTTCATGTATGCTCATTGTTCCTGATCAGTCTCTCGCTTCTCTACGATTACTTTAACTTTTACTCTTTACTGTTTCACTTTATCATGATTTGTTCTGGATGTGACTAGTTCTGCAAATTATAGCAACTTTTTCACTCATGTCATGCAATGTTTCGATTTTTCATGTTTTGAGAAGCTGGGAAAACTGATAAAAGGGATTAAAAGATGTGTAATTAGAATTCGAGAACGTACACTGGTTATAGAGTTTTCGAGCTTTTTGGGTAGTGAGATCACTTAAAAAGAGGTTGTTGGTTTGTTAGTATTCGAGCCCAAGGGAAGAGCCCAACTCAAAAGACTAGCCTGATAGGTGGGAGGACGACTTAAGTACCACTACACCATTTCTGGTGTAGCCAATGTGGGATCATAACATCACACCACCCTTTGGAAGACCCGACGCCTACGGCGGCGCACCCTTTGCTCATCCCGTTAAGGTAGCCCTTTTCCAGGTCGCCCCCTCTGTAGCGTTGGGAACCTAGGCTCTAATACCAATGTTAGGACTCAAGCCCAAGGGAAGAGTCCAACCCAAAAGACTAGCCTAATAGGTGGGAGGACCCAAAGGACTTAAGTACTACTACACCATTTCTGGTGTAGCTGATGTGGGATCATAACATGGTTTCTTAGGTTTTCAAGAAAATTGATGCAAAATTAAATTTATGGCAGGGAAAACCTTTGATGTGAATTTGAAGAAAATTTGGTTATATTTGGGGTTTTCTTGACGAAAAAAGTAACCTTCAGTATTGGTAACACAAGATAGAGCCCATTACCCGCTTTTCATTGTCTTATAAGATCACCCACATTTTAGTTACATTTTTGCAGAAATTAGTTCGTGGATGTTGATGTTATGCTAATCATATGCGTTCATTTGTTTGCGCGCGCATACACTTGCGTATACCTGAATCAATATGCATGCATAATTTGGTTTTGAACTCTCTCTCTCCGCTTCACCTTGGCTCCTCTTTTTGACAGAACAAGTTGGGTAAAGGCCAACGCGATAAGCTCCAGCAGTTCATCATGATAACTGCAGCGAGGTAATCCGATAATCATACGCAACTTTTCTGTTTTTCTTCATTTCACGTCTTTGAATCCATGGCAGTTTTGCCCAGTGGTTTTGCTAGCTTATGCATGTCATGCATTGATATTTAGAGCACCATTTAAAACCAGTTGACATTGCATGTTGAATTGATCATGAGGAATGTTATAAATTCAACATAATTTTTGCCCTTCTAAGGGACACGTGTTTGTGTTGTGTTAGATTTGGTTGAGTTGAGCAGTTTTAATCGTCAGCTTGTTTATGTATCTTTTGAAGTTGAATTGGTTTAATTGGTCTGTGCACACACATATGTGCTTTGAATTAGACTGGTAGGCGTGTATCGTATCTTTTTCTACCCTTACTCTTGAGCAGTTTTTGTGTGATTCTTGGATTCAGTGGTCTAACTTCCCATCATATGCAGTGAAAAAGTGGCTCTGCAGGTTCTGAAGGAGAGTGATTGGCATCTTGAAGGAGCGTTTGATATCTTCTACACTCAGCCCCAGCTGCAAGCAGAGACCGATTCTAATACTGATTCTAATACTAATACTAGACAATTGGAGGAATTATACAATACATATAAAGGCAAGCTTTACCTTTCCATTCACTCTTGTCCTCAATCTTAGACATTAGTGTATATCTTTTGTTCACATTCGTAGGAAATTGAAAAGACAGAGATGTAAATCGGTTTATAAATTCACAAGCATGCGGTGTCACCAAGTTTGTAATAGATGAATTTGGTTGGAATCCTATTACTGTAGTTGTGAACACAATGGATTTTTTTTCCTTCAAGCTTCTTCATCAGCTATGTCTTACTCAAATATATATTCGCGATACTGGATTGGTTCATACTTATGTACTTGAGGATTAGTGATAAATTTCTCGTTTGTGATAAGTGATACTGTGATAGCATTGTACCTAAAGTCAAATGGCCCATCAAATGTTTCTTTCTTCTTCTTGTATTTTTTGGTAATTTTCAACCTAAGTTTATATGGTTAGCGGAATTTTCTTTTTCACTAGTAGAATAATTCTTTTTTCTCAGATCCAGATGCTGATATGATACTTGTTGATGGTATCAGCCTCCTTTGCAACGATCTTCAGGTAACTGTTTGGTGTAGATATTAACTGTCTCAATCATTTGTCTTTAATATTGTTGCTTGTTTCTTATGATTGTTTTCTTTCGTTTTCTTGTTCTTTTATTTTGACTGACATGCTAGCTTTCATGATTTGACAGGTGGATCCTCAAGATATAGTCATGGTAGGTATATTCGAATAAACCTTGTTATGGTTAAGATGTGCATGCCTACAAAGTTCCTTTCAAGTCCGCCAAATTACTGTTTAGGCAATGTAAAAATTCAATTCTACGAAGTTCTGTCTATTTGGCTAAAGAACCTCTTGCTTGAAAATTCAACAGAAATTCTGACAAAATTTCATATAGATATAGTGATTTTCTGGCTAGGGCCTTTCACATGCATGGGCAGAGTCTAACATAGATTTCTAGGGGATTAAATGTTACATTTTCAAGTTTGGAGACTAATGTGTAGCGGGCTAAAATTTTGGGACATTGGTGAAATTTACTTTGAACTACATAAAAATGAAATTGCGATGCAGGTAATGAAGATATGTTTCGAATTTGATTGGTCAACTTTTATTTTTTATTTGCCTACACTTGTTCAACTTAACCTTGTGACTTGGCTGGTTATTTTTGGTACAATGGGCTGTTGATGCAGTTAGTTGTTTCCTGGCACATGAAGGCAGCTACCATGTGTGAATTTTCCAAAGAGGAGTTCGTAGAGGGATTAGAACCATTAGGGTAGGTACATAGGGTTTTGATGTTTGTTATATTCTTCTAAACCTCAAATTATAATAGGTACGTAGTCTATAACCATGAGAGAAATTCAATTAACAGAAGTTTGTGTTATCTGATGGCAGGATAGATTCTTTGGACAAGTTCCGTGAAAAGATACCATTTATGAGATCCGAGCTGAAAGATGAACGTAAGTGAAATGTGATTATAGTTTTAGTTAAGTAATTAAAATTTATTTGTATATCATTTTTTTGGTTTTTTGTGGAAGATACTCATGATGTTAACATATATTTGTTCAAATAGCTTGACTGTACTGTAAAGATATTGGTGTGACGAAAAATTTTGCGAGAGTACCTTTTCATTGCTGACATGATCTTCTTTTTATTTTCCAGAAAAGTTTCGAGAGATATATAATTTTGCTTTTGACTGGGCAAAGGAAAAGGTATGTGTTTTTACTTTTTAGCGCATGAAGAATTTTATTTGTTGTATTCTAGACAGTGCTTATTTCTCAAGTTTGATAGATAAAACAAGAAATGAGTCCTTGACATATATTACGATTCATGAACAAAACAAAAAAAATTATATCTGATACAGTATCTTATATAAATTCTGGTATTAATTTGTGTGTGCACGCGTGATTATATTCCGTGTTCATAATCATATACGCGTGTATTGCTTCATTTTCATTTCAGGGTCAGAAATCTTTGGCATTGGATACTGCAATTGGAATGTGGCAATTGGTGTTTGCTGAAAAGCAGTGGCCGTATGTTGAACATTGGTGTCAGTTCTTACCGGTAAGTTACAAAGTTGATCATTTGTTGAAAGTAGCTACGCTGGGCTTGTAGTAATCATTTATATTATCGTATAGGAATCATTGCCAAGGATTTCTGATAAATGTTACAGTTTTTCTGCAAAATGGAGGCCTCATGTTGTTGCCTTTATTCCTACATCATTCTTTTACGAAATCATTGTCACGCCTGTTACATTTTTAGAAAGTATGTTTGCGTTGATTCGTTGAAATGGATTATACATCCCAAATTGATTGCAAGAAATACAAAATTACCAGCAAAAATATTGTGGTCTCCCATACTGCCACAGGTATCATAATTTCTTGTATTCTAGGTTATTATTTTCTTGATTTGTTCCTGTTAATATATTTTCTGTTCTTGATTCCATCATTTCAGGCTCGGCATAACAAGGCCATTTCGAGGGACACATGGTCTCAACTATTGGAGTTTGCAACGGTACTATATCAATCGTCTATGTAACAAACAAAAAAAAAAAGGAACAATGCCACCCATTTCGTTTCTTTTTATTTCATTGGTTAACTTGATATTCCGTTTGTAGGCCGTGGATCCGTCACTGTCAAACTATGACGCGGAAGGTGCCTGGCCATATCTTATTGACGAATTTGTCGAGTACTTGAAGGAGAACGGAGCAATCCAAAAGGGTTAATTGCCTGAATGGAGCCAAAACTGATTAGGACTGCTTTTTGGTGAATTAGAAGTTTATCTCAGCTTATTACTGTGATTGAGGAGTACTGCCCTTTAATTGAACTCGGTTCGTCTTCAAAACAAGACGACCAAAACCTCGAGCTCTAAAATATATGATTTCTACACTTTACAATCGGTTAGATCGTTGGTCTGGAATGTATATTATCTGGTACAATTTTTGCCTCTTGTTTCGTGGAATATCTAGTACAATATCTGAATAAGTGAAGCCAGCATCTGGCGCTTACATTCTGTCTAAACAAAAATGAAATTTATATTTCACGAAAAGGAGATACTCTCTTATGCGATCAAAACACGTCACGTGGTGAGTTTTTATTGACTCGAGCGTTCATTTTTTGAACACATGGTTCGTTAAATGAGTGATGTTCCAGAGATTACGCATTGGTTGCAAGAGAGAATCTCTCTCACGAAAGAGGTAAGAGAACCAAGAGAATGAAAAGTACCACAAAAGGCCATCCGGATATTGTTTACAAATGGCAACTTCTAATTATACATTATCTGCCCTCCTTATTTTAGTGCTGGGTCCTCTCTTTTTCCTCAAATCTTGTTCATTTATTTACCCTCTCACAAAGAAACTTCTAATTCATTGACAAACGTCAAAGAGTTTAAGGGCCCGTTCGTTAACATTTTATAAAGAGAAATTTTATTTAAACCATTGTAATTTTTTCTACACCTAACTTAAATTTTAAATGTTAATTGTCTATTTTATTCTATTGCATAATTACTATTAAGTACAAAATAAAATAAATAATAAAACTCAAATTTATCAATAAATCCACACACTATAATTAAACGCTAGCATTATCCTTTGTTTATCCTACGTTCTTTCTGGCTAAAACCCTAATATCTTTGATAAAGAAAAACAAGCTTTTCTACTGATGGATGATGATTTTGAAGTTTTGAATCCTCCAATTAAGGTATGACTCGATTTATGGATATTTTGTTCGTTTGCTTCTTCTTTGGATTAAATTTCATACTTTTTATATTATATTGTATTTGTTTTTCTCTGCATGTGTCTGTCTGTGCCCCAAAACACCTTTTAAGGACTTTTGATTAGTATTTAAAAGACATATAACTTGATTCTTGGTGCAGATAAAGACAAATAATAAAGATGAGAATCCAAACAACAATTAACTTCTACAACCTGGTAGTGTGATGTCTTCCTAACTCGCATGATGATTATCATAGGCCTTGAGGAAACAAGGTTATTTGCATCATACTTTCATTTAGAAGCAGAACAGAAAGATGAATGAAAAGGAATTAATGATAATATTACCCCTCAACGAACATGCCTCCATCCAAATTCAAAGCATCAAGGACAAATGTTTCCGGCAAAGTGATGGATTGAACTGGAGCTTTCATTGCATTATGTGGCAAATTCAAATCTATGGATGGGTTTGGTAGCAAAAAGAAAAAAAGCAACCATAGAAATGCCAGTCCTATACAGTGCATATGCAATTATAAAGGGGCAAAGGACGCCTCTTTGAATAAAAACATTCAATTAGAGATATTATTATGTAAAGGGAATGGGTGTAAAGATAACTTTACATTTTGAGTTAGTTTTGAGAGGGTGGTTTAGGTAATAGATTTGGGTTTAAAGAGAGATTAATTCTTTAATAAAAAACAATATGGGTGAAGAGAGTAAGTTGAGTGCAGAAAGAGGTTAGACGGGTTCAAATAAGATTTCATTTTTATAAAACAATTTTTTATATACAAAAATGGGTGAAACTATGTTTGGCAGACTATTTTGTGAAAATAAACTTAGAAAACGAAAAATGCAGAAAACAGTGGCCTATGTCCCGTAAAACATCAAATTGATGATTCCCTTATTTTTCAAGAATATTTTTCAAAATAATAGAAATAAAAGATACATTATAAAACGAAGTTAGAGTTTTAATAAAAGATATAATCATGTATGTGGCACATCTACCATAAACTATCGCCACTACCGCCATTACGACCACCAGAACAACCACCACTACCATCTTTGACACCACCACCTCCACCGTCTCACGGTTCCATCACCACTGTCTTACCATGACCACCACCGCATGCACCTCTGCATCCACCACTGACTCCACCACCACCATATTATCCACCGCCATCACCCGCTCCCACCCCATGCACCTTTCGCCACCATCACCACATTCTCAACCCCATTACCTCACCATGGTCACTACCACCTCTGCCATCTCCACCCTATTACCTTCACTACTACCACAATTCCAACCACCATTGCTACCAATGCCATTGTGAACAGCTCTATTACCATTGTCGGCTATTACTACCAAATTGTTATAATTAGGGAAAAAGAGTGAGAACCTTTGAGTGAATAGGGAGTAACAAAACACTATGTTTATTTTCTTCACTGAAGTCAAGCAAGAGAAATGAACATAGAGAAGGAGAGGTGACGAAAACAGAATTGTTACTTTTTGTTTTTCATCTCTTTGTACTACCGGTACGATACAAACATACCTCTATATATAAAGAGATTTCCACCCGAAATCTCTTTTAATGCATGTAGAAATTAAGCTTACACTCCAAAATAGTAAAAACTAAACTTCTATGTATTTGAGCCATATAATTTTGACATCTATGCTTTCATCCTCCATCCTTAGCCACATACTTGTTTTATGTGGGCATATTCACATTACTAACCTTATCATCTTTGTAAGCTCTTCAAATTTTGCTCCGAATTTACATACTTGAATTCAGAGAACATATTTTTTCTTCAGTGTTGCATTTCTTTTATTTGTTGCCGATTTTGAAGGCATATAGAGAATAACAAATTGGCTAGCTTGCCAAGCTTACAAGAACTGTAAGTAGCAATCGAATTGTGAGTTCGATACTTCCATTTATTATTCCGATTAGTATTCAAAAATGCGAAGCGAGGAAATTTCGTAAATGTGAAATCCTCATGTGGCAGGTACATACAGAATAACTCTTTCAGTGCTGAAATTTCTGCAGAATTGTAAACTGAAAAAAAAAAAAAAAAAAAAAAAAAAAAAAACAAACACTTTTAAGTAAGTTTGATTTTCAATGATGTATGCAAGGCTATAAACGTGACAGTATATCGTAACCGAGAAAATTTATTGAGATAATTGCTATTCATCCTGTAGTTGGGGATTTTATCGATAATGCATAATCTTCGAAGACAGTCATCTCTTCAGAGAAGTACTATACCAGCACCCGTTAAGCACTAAAACGCGAACACAATGGTTACATGTAGTAGAGAGAAATGGGGAGAGAGGTACTGGGTACATCCTTTCCCAAAACCCTCCCAAGAAGGAAATCATTCATTACTTATATGTCAAAAGTTTTGATTGTATTCATGTGAAACTTTGCTTCTATATGCTCCCATAATAACGTCACCTCTTATAAGCTCTTTTTGGGAATTATTACATTGCTGAAGCCTGAATATGGTCACCAGGAAAATTTGTGATTGTAAAAAGAAATTTTCGTCATGCTTCAAGTCCTTACTTTCACTATACACACAAAGACAACTGACATAAGAGATACTCATGTCACCATAACATCATGTGGCAAGTTCTTAATAGACGAATAGTGTACTTTTTGAATCCATAACAATCACATGTTTGATGAGTAAATCTCTTGAAACTATGTCATGGTTTCCAGAAATAATCTCTCCAGCAATATAGTGATGGGTTTTGATTGAGAGGACAATTATTTTCTAATTTTTGTTTCTTATTGTAAATAGGATTATAAGTAGACTTCCACATATATATATATATATATATATATAAATAGTATTGCTATCTTTTATATATTTATAACTTTTTACATGTTTTATACGATTTTAAATTCGGAAGCAACACTTTTGCTAGCTATTGGGGGCTATGCGTGGTGGCGTCCCAGTGTGATATCAACTTGAAGATATAAGGTGGCGAGATCAATTTCTGCACCATGTTGGATATATATACTTGTGGTGTATGATGATACTAAAGTCTATATATACCTACTTTTTTTTTTCTTTTTTTTACATGTTTTGCATGTGGTCCAATATCGTAATGAATAAGGTGTTGAGTTTTCACTCATACGTCCTCAATTTAAACGTCCCCTAAATTATTGTAATACCTACGACAAAAAAAATGAGAAAAGAGACTCAACTATTGCGAGAACTGTTATGTATGAGTTATTTCCTTCAAGTGTTACATGCATATGCTATTGCTGTGAGAAGGAAGACGATAATAATGCACTAAACTGCCCATGAGACTAAACTACAAAGGTTAAGAGAGTTAGCCAAAATGCGTTGACATAATCCTATCTAATTTTTCCACATAACAATATTATTTTGATAAACTTCGAGCAAGTTTAGTATACTAAAAGGAAGTCCAAGGTAAGTCATTTTTTTTGGTGAACGATAAAGGATATCGATAAGAATTAGAGATGAACTGATACTAGCTTTGATATCAGTGGCTATGATATTGACCATACGTCAGAGTAACCAAATTAAGGAATAAAACAGAAAATTAAAGTTGTCTCATTGTAAATTAGGAAAGAAAACAGAAAATTAAAGCTGTCCCCATTGTAAATTAGGGAAGAAAACAGAAGATTGAAGTTTTCCCAATATAAATTAGGGAAAGAAAACAGAAAATGGAGGTTGTCCCATTGTAAAAAAAAAAAAAAAAACAGACTAGCTACCACAGTACTGTAGATGACTTTGTTTCCTTGATCAAACCCTGAAAATTCATACTATAAACCCTAGGGTCTTAGGATGTCTCTACGAAACCATACTATTCAGTGTTGGAATAAGAGAGAGTTGTAGCTGTAAGGCAACTGAAAAATACCGAAGAAAGAAGGGCATGGCTACTTTCGCAAGGAAGCTCTTTGTGCTTGTTTTGTTGCTCATCATCCTTCTAACTTCTGGTAATTAAGTACTCTCACTCTCTCCCTCTCACACACACAACAAACACAATTATGGATAATCTTTTATGCATCATTTGTGTTATTGACATGCAGATGAGACAGTGAAGAACACCGAAGCTGTTGGACAAGAAGAAATGAAGATCACGAAAGCTATTCAAATTGGGGATTGCACGGACCATAAACTTATTGGCTTTTGCATCAAGACCCGCATCTGTAATAG